GTGATAGACAGGATGTTTTTATTTGAAATATTGCTGAAGTCATTTATTTTGTTAAATTTAGTTTGATCGTGGCAAATAATACTGGTCTTTTACTTATGACAGGTTTCCTTTCGTTACAAGTTTGTTGAAATAATAAAGCTAAATATTAAATAATCACACAGGTGACATATGGGTATGAGAAAAATCACAAGGTTGGTACACAAATAATTGAGGTTTGAGAAGTGCTAGACGAGTGGAAGGCCAGGAGCAAGTGTCTTGTAGGAAAACTCCCAACCTGCAAGGTCAAAGGCTCACAGCTCTCACCCACAGTAAGCAGGAAGCCGGTAGAGGTGAGTTTTAATTTCAGATGGAAAAGAAATTATCTGTATGTGCCAACTAGCAAGGTCTCTATGTTCAGTTTAACCAGTAATTGAGTGTCTACCCTGGAAAAGGAAATATCCCAAGTTTAGGGGGAGAGGGGAGGCAGAGGATCCAAGGCAAACCTGTATAGCAGGAGACTTGGGAGATTATGAGAGCCTTAGATCAGGAGCAGTTTTATTGCCTGCTGAGAGGTCAGAGAGGATCAATGTACAGAAAGGGACATCAAGTCTTCTAGTCAATCTGTTACTGGCCAGGGTGCCTTCCCCAGAAGTTTGCCACTGATTTTATGACAAAAGACAGTTGCAGATGGATGATGGTGAGCAACTATCTCAAATACAGCAAGCGCCAGGCCAAGCATGGTGGCTCACATCTGTAATCCTTGCACTTTGAGAGGCCGAGGCAGGAAGATGGCCTGAGCTCAGGAGTTTGAGAGCAGCCTGGGCAACATGGCGAAACCCTGTCTCTACTAAAAATACAAAAATTAGCCAGGTGTGGTGGCGCACATCTGTAATACCAGCTACTGGCGAGGCTGAGGCATGAGAATTGCTTGAACCCAGAGGTAGAGGTTGCATGCAGTGAGCTGAGATCACGTCACTGAACTCTAGCCTGAGCAACAGAGCAAGACTCTGTCTCCAAAATATATATGTGGCAGGCTCTAGATGATGCTGAAAGTTTAAAAGTACTTATTACCATTGTTGGATTTTATTTTCAAATATGAAAACAGAGAAAACAGAGAAAAACTAAATGGAGAAGAGCCATTTCCCCTAATTATATTTGAAACAGAGTCTAGAGATGGAATTGTAATTTTATTCCTTCTTTCACTCTGTGATTTTATGGATTGGGTCCAGGATTGCAAGCCCTCTGGGCTGTGACCCCTCCACTCCTAGCCCCATTACATCTAAGTGAATCCCCTTGGAACCAGACACCAAAATTCACCTTTCAGTTAAAAGACCTCCCACTCCTTGTAAACCAAAAAGCTGCTGCCAGGGTGAGGGTTCCTGTTCTCTTTGCTGTGTGTAGCTGTTCAGGCTGCAGAGGACCCTCCACCTAGCACATGCATTTTATGGGGGTGCAGGTGAGAAATTCCTCATGAAGAGATAAGAAACAAGGCAGAGCGGACCCATGCTACTGAAGTAAACCACACATTCTAACAGGTACTTAGGTAGGATGTAGAATCTAAGTCACCTAAGTCACCCACTCCTCTAATTACCAATACTTTTCACTCTAAAAATCATACCCTTTGGATTTTTCTTTTGCTTTTTGTGAATAAATGAGCAGTCATACACTTGATGTCTGAGTATTGAGTTTCTGTTTAGAACAAGTGAGGAAACTCAATTGAGATCCTTAGCTTGAGTTTAACTCGTCCCTGTGGTCCTGGTCACCACTGTCATTATAGAAAGAATGATGCCATCATCTACCTTCCCGTGCACTCACCTGCTGCTGGGACCATCTTATTTACAGCAGATCTCTGTAGGTTAAAAGGTAAAGTTTCAAAGGCTGGAATCTCTGTACCAGGTGAAGGGTGCACGTAAGCTGATAGGAGCGATGGATGAGACCATGTACTTGGGGGAAATACGCAGTGTAAAACTAGCTCATAACTAGGGGTGCTGTCCTATGAAGTGCATATACCAACACAAACCTGCATTTGGACCCAGGACACAACACTTCCAAACTGAGTGACCTTGGACAATCAATTTAAAATCTTTCTGATTTTCAATTTCCCTACTGGGAAAAAAAAAAAAAAAAAAAAAAAAAACAAAAAAAAACCCAAAAAAAAAAAAAAAAAAAAAAAAAAAGCTGGGTGGTGCTGAGGTTTAAATGAAAGAAGAGGACCTCCACACAGTGAGTCTCTTTGCTCTCTCAACCTTAGCCCTCAGTGCTGTGTGTCTTTCAGTCTCTTTTCTTTGCCTTTATCCTGCCCTTTTTTTGCCCCACATTTGGTTTTTTAATTCTTTGAACAGCCACAATTTAAAACTAAAGTATATTTTAAAATATGGGTATTTATCAAATACATCTATATCTTCTCTTGTATGAACCCTTAAAATCACTTTTTAACATTTACTTTTTGAAATACTCCGTGTCTGAAAGCAAAAATCGGTGGCTTTTAAAATGGGTTTGTGTGTTTGGGGCTGGTGGTGGGGGGTTAGCTTTAACTATTAATAACGTTGTAAGTGAATGACTCTTATTAGCAAAAAGGTTCTCTTAGTTTAGATTTTAGGATGTGTCTTGAGTGATTTTTCTGGCGTGAGGACCATAAACCACAGCCTGCCTTGGGGTGATTACATAATCTCTGCATTCATATCAGCTTCACAACGTGTAAATGTAGCCATATTAATGTTTGCTTGGGGTAATCTAGCACTGGATTGGACTCAGCTCTGCTGGGTGGAATAGGAGAAGACATGGCAGTGTCATAGTCACACGCAGGGACTCTAAGATGCTGCAGGAGTAGAGAGCTAATCTGACTTGGGACTTTGAACCAAGCCTGGACAGTATAAGGTCTTTCTACAGGTTCTCACTTCTCATATAGGGTTTGTGCAACCAAGAGTCATTACGAAATGGTGGTTCCCAGGGGCACATGGTCGCATCACAGTTTATCCTTGTTCAATTCATGTCTCGTTTTTCTGAGGTTGTCTATGATGTAAGACCTACGGAGGAACCTGCTGACTTCTCATGTTTGTTCCATTCAGTCCTTCATTGACCATTTCTTTGAGTGCTCTCTATAAAGCAGGCACATTGTTCATAGTACCCAAACGTGTGAATTCCGGGCCCTGCCTTTACGGGATGAAAGGTGTGGTGAGAGATGTATCTGCAAGCAAGCATTTAGGCTATGTGCTGCTTCTGGGTATCCAAGGCACTTTGAGGGCTTTAAGCAGGTAGGGCTAACTATTGGTGGCACACAGGAGAAGGAAATCCTTTTTAAGGTATGTGATGTCTGTGGTGAATGTTGAAGGCCAAGGCGTTGACACCTGACTTCCACCCCGGCAAGTCTGCATCTGCACCCAACCTTGGCTCATCCCCTAATTGCCAGTTTTCTGGTGTCTGAAATGGGAGGACAGTGTCTACCTATCCTGTCTCTGGAGGCTGAAGCAAGGCCAGTGAGACTGTGTGGACACTTCCCCGTCTGGGGGTTCTCCCATGTGCCCCAGCAACCTGAGCCTGCAAGACAGTGGGTTGGCTGAGGTTTGAAGTTCAGTGTGTGACTGTGAACTTCGGGTTTGTCCCCTTTAGATCAGACCAAGACATTCTTCTCTAATTGAGTTTGTCATTGTAGTTCAATTCTGAGTAAATCCCAGTTCTTTCTCTTGCCGACTGTGAGCTTGCAGAGATTATTTAACCAATTAGAATCTTAGGTTTCTTATCTGCAAAATGAAGATGATAATTGTATTCGCCTGTTTTCACATTGCTATGAAGAAATCCCTGAGACTGGGTAATTTATAAAGAAAAGAGTTTGAATTGGCTCACGGTTCCACAAGCTGTACAGGAAGCATGATGCTGGCATCTGCTCGGCTTCTGGGGAGGCCTCAGGAAACTTACAATCATGGTGGAAGGTAAAGGGGGAGCAGGCACTTCATGTGGCCAGAGAAGGAGCAAGAGTGAGGGGGAGGGGTGCCATACACTTTTAAACAACCAGATCTTCCTAGAACTCTCACGAGAACAGCACCAAGGTGAGGGTGCTAAACCATTCATGAGAAATCACCCCCATGATCCAATCACCTCCCACCAGGCCCCACCTCCAACACTGGGGATTACAATTCAACATGAGATTTGGGTAGGGACACAGATCTGAACTGTATCAGCAATAGCAAATTCTTCATCAAGTGGTTGTGAGGAGCCATGAGTAGGACCCATCATGTTCCAAACATGGTAAAGGGGTGTCATATGATAAATTATCAAAGAAAATATTAGCAAATATTTTAATTCTATTGTCTAAATTTCTGTCACTTATACTGCAACTTTTATTACCTTTTCAAGCAAACTCTCAATCTAATATGAATATAGAGTTTTGATGTCATATTTCACATATGTTCTATCTGGACCTGTAATGCACATTTAAGAACAACAGGGATGACTTCATACTCTAACGTGTTCCCTGGCTGCTATGTGCAAGTGTTGTGAGTTTTGAGGACATCCTGAACTGCATGTTGAGACATGAAAAGAAGCAAGCACATAGACACTTGGCACCACTGGGAAACGGTGCTTTCTTGTGCAGGGATGAAGCATGTTTGTTTATCTGAAAGGAAGGAGTTGACTGATTCATGAACCATTTTCTCTCCTCCAAATGTTCTATGGCTCAAATCCTCCCTGCACTCTGAAGCAGCCCTATCATGGCCGCTGCCATCTTCTCAGTGACAAAGCCCTCAAATGCTCAGGTCTTTCAGACATGGTTGCCTGTTCTTTCAAGGACTTAGGGCAAGGATGTGGGGAAGCATTTCCCTGGACTGAGGGTGGCACTTGCCCGAGGCTTAGGCTGGCACTGCTCTGTAGCCTAAAACTGCATAACCATTTGGCAGTGCCTTCCAAATCCAACCCATCAACCTATTAATTGGGATGGGGATTAATACTGCCAGGAGGTCCTCTGTTTCTCCGTGTGTTCCTTTGGAAGTCTGATGACAGCGTTTTCCACTTGTTTTGTCTCATAGGAACTGGTGAAAGTGGGAAAAGCACCTTTATCAAGCAGATGAGAATTATCCATGGGTCTGGTTACAGTGATGAAGACAGAAAGGGGTACACGAAGCTGGTTTACCAAAACATATTCACCGCCATGCAAGCCATGATCAGAGCGATGGACACGCTAAGGATACAATATGTGTGTGAGCAGAATAAGGTAACGTGCTTAGGGGGTACTTGCCCTATTTGTGAATGTGTGCCTGCCCACTCTGGTTAGCACAAAGATTCCCTGAGTGCTTTGGTCAGATGCCGGAAGAAGCTCTTGATCCCTGGGGTGGGGTCATCGAGAGGAGTTTGAGGACTTTAGTTAGCCGCCTGGTCTTCTTTCTGCAGGGTTTCTCTCATGGTGCTAGCGTGAGGCTACCCAGCATGCAGGGATTGCAAAGTTTGGGCTGTTATTTAGGTGGCTTATTTCCAGCGCTGAGAAAAGGAAGTCATACGTTTTCTCTTTCTGCTAAGAGACCCAGTTAATTTCTTCACTGGAGCCATGGGGACATTGGGTTTACAGTGGCCAGCGTTTCAAGAATTCCCAGTCTCAGGAAATGTTTTCACTAATTGGTGCAGACTACTGAGAAATCAGTGGGTTTTGTTTGTTTGTGTTGGGAGTTCACCCATCTTGGGAACTAAGCGAAGGCTCATGAGAACAATGCTAATGGCCCAGCCAGCAATGTGCTTCCGTAAAGTGCTGGTGTCAAGCTGCCATTTGCTTTCCCCTCACCACCAGTTATTTAAAATACAAATCTGCTGAAAACCGGAGGAAAATAATGAGGCAGGAGTGAGAGAGAAGGAAAATAAAATTTTATATGGTACATTGGAATGCAAATCCAAAGGAGAATAATACTGTGTCTGAGTTCATTAAGCAACTATATTAGAAATCAGAGTTTATTTAAAATAATTGATACCAAATTACAACATGACATGATGATAAAGAGAAAAATTCTGTGTCAGATGGGTCTCTTGTGGGTCTGTGAAAAAGGAATTTAGCTAGTAAAATGCCAGAATTGCATTGGCTTTAATATGGACCCCTAAGGACAACTTTATTATGAACTTGTGGCACCTACACTCATATATATATGATTAAAAAGACTGGGCGTGGTGGCTCACACCTGTAATCCCAGCACTTTGGGAGGCCAAGGCGGGCCGATCACGAGATCAGGAGATCGAGACCATCCTGGCTAACACAGTGAAACCTCATCTCTACTAAAAAATACAAAAAATTAGTTGGGTGTGGTGGCAGGTGCCTGTAGTCCCAGCTGCTCGGGAGGCTGAGGCAGGAAAATGGTGTGAACCCAGGAGGCGGAGCTTGCAGTGAGCCAATATCACACCATCGCACTCCAGCCTGGGCCACAGAGCAAGACTCCGTCTCAAAGAAAAAAAAAAAACGTTTTAAAGCAATCAATTTAAATTTTTATGGGATTACATAGTAAAACACAGTAGGCACCAAATTTTAGACTTACCTTTACCTCATCTCTACAATCTATGTCTTTACCATCATGTCCTTGCAGCCCTAAAGAAATGAAGGAACACATCTTGCCTACAATTTCACCCTGCAACAGAGTTATGCTAAAAATTGTGTGGCGTGGACCGGGCACGGTGACTCACGCCTGTAATCCCAGAACTTTGGGAGACCGAGGCAGGTGGATCATCTGAGGTCAGGAGTTCGAGCCCAGCCTGGCCAACATAGTGAAACCTCATCTCTACTAAAATTACGAAACATTAGCTGGGCATGGTAGCGGGCGCCTGTAATCCCAGCTACTAGGGAGGCTGAGGCAGGAGAATCACTTGAACCCAGGAGGTGGAGGTTGCAGTGAACCGAGATTGTGCCATCGCACTCCAGCCTGGGCAACAAGAGTGAAACTCCATCTCAAAAAAACAAAACAAAACAAAACAAAAAAATTGTGTGGGGTGAATTAGCCTACAGCAAGGGTATCCAATCTTCTGGCTTCCCTGGGCCACACTGGAAGAATTGTTTTGAGCCACACATAAAATACACTAACGCTCACAATAGCTGATGAGCTTAAAAAAAAATTGCAAAAAATCTCATTCTGTTTTAAGAAATCTCATTCTGTTTTATGAATTTGTGTTGTGCTGCATTTAAAACTGTCCTGGGCTGCATGTGGCCCGGGGGCCATGGGTTGGACAAGCTTGGCCTACCGTATATCTGGTGTGAAGTAAGGTGAGAGGCACACACTGAGCCACTAGGAGATTCTAGAAGTGACTGAGATGATTCCTTTATACATTGCTGTATCTTTTTGAAAAGGTACAGTTCTTTTTTTACTTACCCTTTCTAATGTACTCTCAAAATTAGGCTTTCTGTGGAGATTTAAGATTACTTCAGAGAAGTGGCATGGCAGGAATGTTCTTGGGGGTGATTTCAGTTCATCTGTTTTCCCCTGTTGTAAAATGTGTTTTGTTTACCAGGCGTGGTGAGGTGACTGGGCGAAGCTTGGAATTCAAGGATGGGTTTGTAAACAGACCCACTGGGGAGAAAAGGCTCATGTGTAAGCCACTTCTGCTTACGTTGGCAGCAGCGTTTGTAAAACCTAATCAGCTTAGTTATCAAGGTTCTAGGTTTTTGCTTTTGTTTTGTTTTTCCTCTTGATCTTCTAGACGTACTTAGTTTATATTTTAAACAAAATGGTTTTATGTGGTTTGACATCTACCACTGTCTCCTTTTCTCTTGACCTTAATTATTTTGTCTAGGCCATCTCCGTTTGCCCGCTAATCTGTATTAGTTTCCTAGGGCTGTTATAACAAAGTACTTAAGATTGGATGGCTTAAGACAGAAATTTATTGTTTTTACAGTTCTGCAAGCTAAAGGGCCAAAACCAAGGTTGATTGGTTCTGACTGGAGGCTCTAAGAGAATCTGTTGCCGGCTTTTTCCCTGGCTTCTGGTGGTGGCTGGAAATCCTTGCTGTCCGTTAGCTTGTAGACGCTTGCCTCCAACCTCTGCCTTCGTCTGGCATTCTCCCCCGTGTCTGTGTGTCCACGGCACTGTCCTCTCTGGGTCTGTGTCCAAATTTCCCTTATAAGGACACCAGTCGCTGGATTGCGGTCCACCCTAATCCAGTATGACCTTATCTAATCTTGCTTGCATCTACAGAGACCCTCTTTCCAAATAAAGTTACACACTCTGAAGTTTTGGGTCAGCATGAGCTTCGGGGGAACACAATTCAACTCCTCTGGCTCCTCAAGATTCATGTCCATCCCATGTGCAACATACATCCACTCCATCCCAACATCCTTAAAAGTCAACCCATTCCAGCATCAACTCTAAGACCCTAATTCTAATCCAAATATCAACTCAAAAAGTCCCAAATCAGGCTGGGCACAGTGGGTTTTGCCTGTAATCCCAGCACTTTGGGAGGCAGAGGTGAGTGGCCATCTCTTGAGCCCAGGGTTTTGAGACCAGCCTGGGCAACATGGCGAAACCCCATCTCTAAAAAAAAAAAATACAAAAATTAGCCGGGTGTGATAGTGCATGCTTGTAATCCCAGCTACTCAGGAGGCTGAGGTGGGAGGATCCACTGAGCCTGCGAAGCTGAGGTTGCAGTAAGCTGAGAATGGTGCCTCTGCACTCCAGCCTGGGGACAGAGTGAAACTCTATTTAAAAACAAACAAACAAACAAAAAATCCCAAATCTCATTGTCTAAATTAGATATGGGTGAGATTCTGGGTACAAACCATCCCGGGCAGGATTCCTCTCCATCCATGACTGTGAAACTAGGATACAAATCCATTGTACCTCCTGTCTCCTCCTTACTTGCCATGTCTGGCTCAAGTATCTCAATTCCTGTTGTATAAACCTTCTCAGACACCTGAGATGAACTGAATGCTAAAATGGCTTAAGGAGAGGCAGAACGTGGAATGGAAAGAACACTGGATTGGCTCTAAAAAATCTGGGCTTTGCTCATGGTTCCACTGTGGGTCTGGGGCTGGAGTCTGCAAACTTTTCTGTAAAGGGCCAGGGAGTCAATATTTGTGGGCTATATGATCTCTGTTGGAACTACCTGGTTCTGCTGTTGTAGTGCAGAAAGCAGATATAGGCAATATCTAATAAGTAAACAAATAAGTGTGGCTCAGTTATAAACTCTACTTACAGAATTTATAGTAAGAATAGTAAGTTAAGAATACAGTTGAGAATAGTAAGAACTATTTTTGACTCATGGGCCATGCAAAAAATCCACAGTCCATGAATGGATTTAATCAATGGGCTGTACTTTGCTGACCCTGGTCCTGGGGAAGCTGTACTGTTTCTGTTTTTCTATTTTCTTATCTGTTGAATGAGACATGCTCTGTCTACTTTATAAGCCAATATGAGCAAAAGGAAGTGATTTACAAATTAAATGACCCTCGAGAAACACAAGGTTATTATTGGGGCAGGTTCAAAAATCAGAAATAGGCTCATTTTCTTTTTATTACTTGTTTAGGTCATTTTCATCAATTTATTCTCTATCATTTTCCTGTGGCTATTATTTCTAATCATTTTTTCTCAGGGCTAGTCTTGATTCCAAACATGAAACTGTAACAAAGTACCATGCTTAGGTCATAAAATGATAAAATGATTAGTGGTTCAGTCGTATTCAGTGATAGTTTAGGAGGCATGCTATATGTTATCTTCTTTACAAAGTATTGTATAACTTGAAACAATTGATTAGTTATGGCAGGGATGAACAAAACTTTAGCTTTTATTTTCACAGTGGTGCAGTCTTCTCCTCATTTCTTATTGCTGAGTATTTCTGTATTATCTGCTGTTTTTTTCCGTTTGTTTCTGTTTCTGTTTCAGAGCTACATTTTCTTATGTATGTAGAAGAGAATTAAAAGTGGTTTTAGAGGGTTTTATTTTAATTGTTAGTGAGATTATTGCTCAGCTAGGCTGTTGAAAGTCTTTGCCTATTACTTGACAGGCCACTTATTAAAGGAAATTTATCAGAAATTTAGTTCCGCATTTGTTTTTTTTAACTAACATGTTTTTTCAATTAAGACATAGCCTTGAAGATTTTTTCTTATACCTTGCCTGCTTATTTTATTAAGAAAGAAATGATTCATATGTATTTGCTCACTCTGTTGATAAACCTTAATTTTTATGAATGTTTCTCAAGAGTGTTTTATGGGTGCAATTCAAATTTATGACTTCTTGAATAAATATTACAAAG